TATAAATTATCAAATACAACTTTCATTAGCAATAGCAGACAACTATAACGTTGCAACAATATTATATTATATTATAATATTATTATTTAATATTGTTCATCAATATTAAAAGGATTTAGATGTAAAATAAGTAGTAAAAAAGAAAGGTGGAAATATGTTTTGTTTGCCAGCTATAAATTATCAAATACAACTTTCATTAGCAATAGCAGACAACTATAACGTTGCAACAATATTATATTATATTATAATATTATTATTTAATATTGTTCATCAATATTAAAAGGATTTAGATGTAAAATAAGTAGTAAAAAAGAAAGGTGGAAATATGTTTTGTTTGCCAGCTATAAATTATCAAATACAACTTTCATTAGCAATAGCAGACAACTATAACGTTGCAACAATATTATATTATATTATAATATTATTATTTAATATTGTTCATCAATATTAAAAGGATTTAGATGTAAAATAAGTAGTAAAAAAGAAAGGTGGAAATATGTTTTGTTTGCCAGCTATAAATTATCAAATACAACTTTCATTAGCAATAGCAGACAACTATAACGTTGCAACAATATTATATTATATTATAATATTATTATTTAATATTGTTCATCAATATTAAAAGGATTTAGATGTAAAATAAGTAGTAAAAAAGAAAGGTGGAAATATGTTTTGTTTGCCAGCTATAAATTATCAAATACAACTTTCATTAGCAATAGCAGACAACTATAACGTTGCAACAATATTATATTATATTATAATATTATTATTTAATATTGTTCATCAATATTAAAAGGATTTAGATGTAAAATAAGTAGTAAAAAAGAAAGGTGGAAATATGTTTTGTTTGCCAGCTATAAATTATCAAATACAACTTTCATTAGCAATAGCAGACAACTATAACGTTGCAACAATATTATATTATATTATAATATTATTATTTAATATTGTTCATCAATATTAAAAGGATTTAGATGTAAAATAAGTAGTAAAAAAGAAAGGTGGAAATATGTTTTGTTTGCCAGCTATAAATTATCAAATACAACTTTTATTCGCGTAGTATTATCTGCAATAGTAAATAATAATATTGCAACAAAACTTTTTTTTTGTACCAATATATTAAAAGGAGGATTTACATGTAAAAATATGTAGCAAAACAAGGTAAAAAATATCTTTTGTTGCCAGAGATGTATAAATTATCAAATAAAACAACTTTCATTCACGTAGTACTATATACAACAGCAAACAACAACTATAACAGTTGCAACAGAGCTTTCGTCTAGTAATATTAAACAATCTAAAAAGATCAAAATTGTTCTAACACACCTGAAATTATGTTTTTAAGTTAGTTCGCTTGGGTCGAACCAGAAGTAAGACCCTTTCTAGATAAAATTAACGCAGGAAACAACGTCCAATTCAACTATTATTGAATGTCGATAACCTGTTCCTTGTCGCCTCTTATACTCTGCGTTCGCAGTTTCAGCAGCGAGAAAGCGCTGGTCGTCAGCGCCATCTCCGAGCAGACTCTGTCACTAATCCAGCTGCATTCCGGCGACCGCGTTCAACAGTGCATCGCGCATGCCAGTAACTGCACACGCCTGCATGTAAAAATTATTTAGCACGCGCTACTTTTTTTTCTCTCTCTCTCTCTGTCCATCCCAGGTGCATTCACCGCAAACGTCTCTGCGCATCGCGTTCCATGTAATCCTGTAATACGCACTCTTTTTGTTGTCCGACAGAAATGCATGCGATAGCTTTTTTCCCTCGAAGTTTCACGCTCTGAAAGAGGTGTACACGGTCACCCCAAATCCGTTGTTCGAAACTGATCGACCCGCGGGTACGGTGTTCAGCAGAACCTCGAACGTGTAAACGTTAGTTTTCGAGAAATGCGTACCGCGGTGCACGGATGAAAAATACTGACGGCATATCAAATAACTGGCAAAAAAGCTCGCGCGATGTTTCATCGAGACGTTCGCGTTTTACGGTCGCCTGTAATTTTTGTTGCTTTATTTACGCGCGTATCGCTTTCCTCGTCTTTTTTCGGTTGGCGCGTTGATTTGTTTTTAACGCTTTGCCGAAATGCTTTTTTAATGGATCGGAATTGAAATTGCGGTTCGAACGTTCTCCGCTGAAAGTAAATTTTTAATTGCTGCTCAAGAGTTAGTGACAGCTGTTCTGTCATTTTAGTGTATCTTTTTTTTAACGTTATTACGATTGCGCGTAACACGTTTTATTTAACTTGAGTTTTAAGTTAATAATCGGGTCCTTAATTTACTTGAGTTTTTATTCAATCGAGTCCTTCATGCACTCGAATTTTAATTCAATTTTAATTAATTCTTGATTCACTTGACTTTTAATTCAATCGAGTCCTTAATTCACTCGAATTTTAATTCAATTTTAATTCATTCTTAATTCACACTTGATTTTTAATTCAATCAAGTTTTTCATTTACTTGAGTTTCAATTTAATCGAGTCCTTAATGCACTCGCGTTTTAACTCAATTTTAATTAATCCTTACTTCACGTGATTTTTAATTCATTCGCGAGGATGCTTCCGGATTTTCGAGGATGCTTCTGTCCTCGGCAAAAGTTGAACAAAATCGGTGTCCGCAATTTATATGCGGATTGCAGCAGGTTTTATGCAGTTTTAATCTCGGACTGACCATTTATCGAATGTGTATTTTTAACAGGCCTCGCCGTTCAGGGGTTGCCGATCATGGGTGGAGTACAAAGCGGAACCCATACCCTTGGAGAGGCATTATGGGTACACGAGAGGCAACGACAAAAATGCCATCGGTGAGTTCTCTGACAAAAGTTCATTGAGTGCACTCGAAAGTGTATCGCAACGTTTCATGCACTTCTGGCGCGACCGATTACGCTGAATATACCAGTTTCATGGTATTTTTTTCCACGGTATCCGTCAAAATGACGGCAATGCGCAGTTATAGAAACAGGACGTTTTGTTCCAGTTACCGAATTATTTTAAATAACAAAATATATATATCTAAAAACTGGATTGTATTATTGTTTTTCTGTAATTTAGTCGAGTTCTATGAATACATACTTCATTCTTTTGTTTTGGAAAGCATCGTTTTTCCATTTTTTCATCTGTATTTGCAACGTTGTTCACAAATATTTCCACAAAACCGATGCAAAAACACATCAACCCTTATATGAGAAATTTAAAAAATCAGTTTCCGCATTTTATAGGTCACACGAACTTACAGTTCTGATTCGACTATGAAAATTACAGGTCAAATGTTATTCAAAAAATTCAATAACTTCAATTTAATAATATTTATAAACATTATAAACATTATAATAACATAATTAATCTAAACGTATTTTAATAACGTTTGCAAACATAGTAAACGTTTGCAAATAAAATCATTGTAAGGGCACAATAATCAGGGACGAGATGGGGCACAGTAATTGACACGCTAACCCTATTCGATCTATTTTTTCGTCCTAGAATCAATCTTTATCCGGTCGTATTCACCACGCGACACCCTGTATAGAAAATAATGAAGCACGGAATCACGATTTTAACGACGATCTCTCATTAATATTTATGATCCGGTGGAACGCAAACGATGGTCTCGATCGAAAAATAATTCGGAAAAATCGTTCTCCAGCTGCGACTACGTTCTACGACAATGTCGTAGGCGGCGCGGGCGCCACGTCGGCCGATTAATTCCGCGATAAATGAGTTCACCGAGTGTCCGGCGCCGGGTCATTTGATCGGACCAGTCATCCAGGAAACAAAGGGGCTCTCGTTCGAGGAGTTTAGCCGGCCGATTCGACGATTAAGAGGCGCGTGGCACGAGAGAAATTAATCGCGGCGCAGGCTAATTACGTCGCGGGGGATAATGGAGAGGCCTCGCGAGTGGCCCAGATTTTTAACGAGCTCGAAAAATCGCCTGGAACTACCGCGGCGCATAGTAAATATCAGAGCAGAAAACTATAGAATGACCGCCGCGCCGCGATGATACTACTTTAATCTATTCCCGTGTATCACCGCCATTATTCTCGCGTTCCCCAGCCGCGTGGAATTCCATTGCGATTAATGTCCGGGCACACGTACACGCTGATCCGGTGCGAAATATTGCGCCCGAGTTGTGCAGGCAACAACGATGATGCAGCTTTTCCTCCACGAAATTATTAACCACCCTTCGCGTCGCGGAACGAGTCGCGTAGAAAACAGCGTTCCGGAAGAGCAGTGTTCCTCTGTAATCTTTTTCGTCTTTTTTTTCTTTTCGGAAATTAGCAAGAACAACGAGATTAATTTTAGCGCGACTTTACTTTAAGTTGAGCTCGTTCATTAGTCTGCAGCTGTTTAGAAATTTAATTATTTCCTTTTCTGGTGTATCGATCCTTTATTGCATCAATTGGAGACCAAAGGACAGATTAGTAGTAAATAAATAATAATAAAATTAATATTGAATAGTTTTATAGAGGTATTGAGGACATTTTGCACTATTTGAGAATTTAATCCTGTGCTATTTTATAATTATCGGAGCCATTTTAACTCTAAATACAAAATAGTTTGTTTTGTGATTTACTTTGTTACCATTTTATATGAATAAAGAATTCTTCGAGGAAAGAATTATTTCAATAAGGAATTATTCGAATAAAGAATTATTTATTTGAATAAAGAATTATTTACTTGAATAAAGAATTATTCGTATAAAGAGTTACTTATTTGAACGAAGAATCATTCGAATAAAGAATTACTTGTTCGAATAAAGAATTATTTATTTGAATAAAGAATTACTCGAATAAAAAAGCAATAAAGAATTATCACAGAACATTAAAGAACATAAGAATTATTACTACGATAAAGAATAGACAGAAC